GAAGCGACCCATGACCCCCAGACAGAGGCCGTGGGGCTGGGGGTGGTTTTGTCACCCCTCCCGGGGGTTGAACTGGAGCTGATTTGGGAGAAGGGGGTAAAAGCTGCATCAGTCGCTCTTGGCTCGAGCTGCAGAACAGTCAGTCCGGGCAGAGGAGTCGGTAACGTGGCTGAACTGAAAAGTGTCTCAATATTATATATAGAGAGAAATTCTGACGTGGCAGAGAGAATCTCGAGGTCAGAGCTGCCCTCTTCAGTACATTTCTTTCCAGTTGCTTTGCTCCCCAACAAAAAGATGTTGGCGAGAGGGAAAAAGTATCCAAATCAAAAAACAAACGAGGTGTGGTTGGGTGTTTTGTGTTTGTGTCTTTTGTTTGTTTGTTTTTTATTTTAACGTGAATATGGGGCTTGGAGCAACCTGCTCTGGTGGGAGATGTCCCTGCCCGTGACAGGGGGGTGGAACGAGATGATCTCTGAGATCCCTTCCAACCCAAACTGTTCTGTGATTATGGGTGATTTACACGCAGCATTCTTGGCAACTCCAGGATCTTTGCTGGGACAGAGACCGTCAACAGGAGAGTTCAGAAACACGGCTTGTAGGTGTATTTCGAGGGACAGTTGTTACTGTTCCCACCTTTTCCTGCAACCTCGGACTGCCCTGGTCTTGGTCTCGGGGAGGTGATAGAGCAGCTGTTGTTTTTCTAATAAGTGACTGCGTAAAGTTCTCTGTAAAAAGCGCAGAGAGGTTGGTTCAGCCGGTCTCTAATTCACAGCTCCGTTTATAGAACTGTCCCCGGTTTGCACACCGTGGTTCCCTGTGCTGTATTTAAAAGCACAAAAGACACCTTTGGCCTGCTCTTTCAACCAACCAGCCTTAGAATGTTCAGGCTGAACTGGATATTTACCATCGTTTCGTGGTTTTTCTCCATAGGCCTTGCAGGAGAAGCTGTGGAACGTGGCAGCTCCTCTGTACCTGAAGCAGAACGCGTTGGCATCAACTGCAGCAAAACAGGTGAGGTGGAAGCAGCTGGGTCTGCATGGAGGTGACTCAGAGAATCATTTAGGTTGGAAAAGATCATCGAGTCCAAGTGTTAACCCAGCACTGCCAGGTCACCACTGCCCCGTGTCCCTGAGCCCCACATCTCCCCGGCTTTTAAATCCCTTCAGGGGTGGGGACTCCACCCCTGCCCTGGGCAGCCCAAACCAGGGCTTCACCACTCTCAGTAAAGAAATTTTTCCTGATTTCCAATCTGAACCTCTCCTGGAGCAACTTGAGCCCATTTCCGCTCATCCTGTCGCTTGTTACTTGGGAGAAGAGATCGATCCCCCCAGGCTGCCCCCTCCTGCCAGGAGCTGCAGAGAGCGATGAGGTCTCCCCTTCTCCAGCTGAACAGCCCCAGCTCCCTCAGCCGCTCCTCCCCACACTTGTTCCCCAGAGCCTGCCCCAGCCCCGTTGCCCTTCTCTGGACACGCTGCAGCCCCTCGAGGTCCTTCTTGTCATGAGGAGCCCAGAACTGAGCACTGGGTTCAAGCAGTGGTCTTACCAGAGCCAAGCACAGGGGAACAATCCCTGCCCTGCTCCTGCTGGCCACACCATGGCTGATCCAGGCCAGGACGCCGTTGGTGTTCTTGGCCACCTGGGCACACTGCTGGGTGTCCACCAGCACCCCCAGGTCCTTCTCTGCTGGGCAGCCCTCCAGCCCCTCCTCCCCAAGCCTGCAGCGTTCCAAGTCCTCGGACACGAGCCCTTCCATGGCCACACGACAGTGATGCGCTCCTGAGCTTCCAGTGCCGACGTCTGTCCAAGTAAATCTTTGTTCCCCAGAGTGGAGAGATTTCTCTCATCTTCGAAGGATGAGGGGTGAGTGACAACTGTGAAACGTCCCCCCCATCTGCCACAAGAGCTGCTTGGCCTCACCTCATTCCTGGGGAAGGTTATGGACCAAAACTGCTTAAAACCCATTCCTAAGCAAGAGAAGGTCATAAGGTCATTGGGAACAGCCAAAATGCATTTCCCGAGGGAAAACGATGCCCGACCAGCGTCCTTGCTCTCAGCAATGAGGGGACTGGGGCTGTGAACGAGGAGAGGGCGGTGGAGTCATTTCTCTTGACTTCAGCAAAGCCTTTGACGTGGTCTCCTGTTGCTTCCCTTCACCAAACTGGCAGGATTCTGGGTGAACAAGTGTGAGGAGACTCCTCCGAACTGAGGAGATGGTGCAGGAGGACATGGCCGCTCTTCAGGCTGCTCTGGGCAGGCGGGGGAGTCGGGATGTTCTGCCTGGGGATCCTAGTGGACGACACGTTGAATGTGAGGCGGTGAAGAAGGCCAACTGCAGCCTGGGCGGTCACGGCAAGAGCCCAGCCGGCCCATCTGGTGAGGTGGGACCTCTGCTCGCCTCTGGGCAGGTCACACCTGGAGGGCTGTGTTGTGTTTTGGGCTCCCCAGTAGGAGGAAGATGCTGACACCCTGGGGCAGGTGCAGCAGAGGGCCTGGAGCACATTCCCTGCAAGGAGGAGTATGAGAAATTCTGGTTAGATATAAGGAGGTGAAAATTTACTGTAAAGGTGGTTAAATACTAGAAGGGGTTGCCCAGGTGGGGGAAGGGAATGTCTGTCCTTGGAATTGGTCACAATTTGATGTGACCCTGAGAAACTGGATCTCATTAGACGTGCTCTGAGCCGGGCCCAGGTGGGCTGACCTCCGGCAGTCGCCCTCAGCCTGAGCTCCTCTGGTTCTGTGAGGTATAAATGATGTGATCCTGGAAAACCTGCAGCTATGCCCCAAGGAAAGGGAAAGGAGAAAGCAAGCTGTTAAATAATTTAGAAACTAAATCTAGGGCAAAAGTGAGTTTGTGGATCTGCTGGGGAGCTGGGCTGGTGTTTGGAGCCTTCACTTGGTGGGGACGTGCCAAGAGGCAGCAGGGCTGCACCTCACAGGCGGCTCTGCTGCTCACGGCTGTCCCCAGGGATGAGCAGAAACAAAAGCAAAACTGGCTTTTTAAATCTTCTCCACTTGAACCGTCTGCCTTGGGTGCCCTTCTCCAGCAGCATGTGAACACTCCCCCAGGGAGGTTTTATCTGTAGTGAGTGTGAATGTCGATCTCTTCCCATCGGTGTGAGGTGAGGGAACGTTTCCTGTTAAATAACTTCCAAGTTCTGGCTTCTGTGCGGTCGGACTGAACTCGGCTGCGTTAATTTGAGCACTTCCCATCTGCTCGTGCTCCTCTGTTTGACAGATGGAAGTACGAGGAGTAAAACTGTGCGATGTCCCGCCTCAGCTTTTAACCGCATCACTAAACTAACCGAGAATGGTGCTTGTCTCGTGATGGGTCCCATCTTTGGGTACAGGACACGAAGGGTTGTTGAGTATAAAGTTGTTTCCAAGAGAACTTGGTCAAATCTTGTTGAGTATAAAGTTGTTTCCAAGAGAACTTGGTCAAATCTTGTTCAGAAACTGTAAACTTGAGCAGGATGTGCTGCTCACGTTTTGTGTTCCCGAGCGGCCGGTGGGAGGCGGTGAGGGCTCTGCCCTGGGAATCAAAAAATCCCAGTCAGAGCGTAGCCTGCCCGTGGCAGAGCGCGTCATTGCAGGCCCAGTTCCGTGAATGCAGCCAAGATAACCTCTTGGCGTCAGGTCCAGCTTTATGCCGTGAGGCATCTCCCCAGAGCAGCGCGGCTCGGGGATTAATGTTCTCGGCGTGAGGAGAAATGCCCGAATCTCGTGGCTACACTCGGAGCCTGACGGTTTGTCGCCCCTGTGGCGTCTCTCTGACAGATCTTGGAAGAAACGTACAAGATGGAGTTCATGTACAGCGGCGTGGAGAGCAGGCAGGTGGTCATCATCCACCACATGCGGCTGCAGGCGAAGGCGCTGCAGCTCATCGTGACGGCGCGCACGACGAGAGGGTAAGGCTGACCTGGTGCAGGGACCTTCCCCGGGCTCACCGTCAGCCCGGCGCCCTTAGGCTGTGTTCATCCAAACCAGCAGGGAGAAACGGGACACGTGAACCATCGCGGCGTGCCCGTAACCGTCTGATTTGGAGTCAGGAGCCTTCTCGTGCCCTTGGTGCGGGTGGGGAGCGACACGGCGCTGAATTAGATGACAGAGTTCTTGGGGAGCTGCGCTTTGGGCGCCGAGTTCTGCCAGCTGTGGCATATAAACAGGTTAAAAGTGTTGGAGAGTTGATATCTGGGACCTGTTTAGATGAGGAAAAGTCACGTATCAAAGAACGCTGTAACATTTGCTTCATTAAGTCTCAGTTGCTGGGTTTTAGCCTCAGCAAAGAACTGTCTTTTTGCCCGATCTGCACATGACGAAGGCGTGACTCGGACTCACAGCTCAATGGAGTTACGTGTGGGTTTGGGTGGTTGGAGAATTAAATCTTGTGAGGTGGTTGAGTTCCCAACTTGTTTGCTTTTGCTTTGCCTTCGTTGCCAGCAATTTGCTGTGTTGCTGTGGGAGTCCGTCATGTATTTGCCGCTGAGCCTCTTGTTTTATAGGTGGAAAGTTGGTATTTTCTCACGGTGGCTTTGGGAACTTTAATTAGTTCTTTACAGAAATGATTTTTTTGTGAGAGGAGGATGTGGGGAGGGACATGGCAATTTTTGGTTTTATTCCTTCTCTTGAGGGCCACAGAATTGTAAGATCTTGTAGCTTTTAGGAGCTTGAACTGGATTCCAAAAAATTTAAATGTTTATAACCATGGAGCAAATTTTCTTTACTCTAAACTAACCCACGGAATGTTGTCCTCCCTGCAGAGTGGAGCCCCTTTTCGGGATGTGTGAAAAATTCCTCCAGGAAGTGGATTCCTTTCAAAGGTGAGAAATTCTGTTGCTTCTTCGCTTCCTGTTAGACAGTTCCCCGACCGCTGTCGCTGGGGAATATTCTGTTTGGTTCTCATCTCTTCACATCTTCCCCGCCTGACTGCGGGACGGCTGCCACGAGGGGATGATAAGGCGAGAAGTAAAATCCCTTTGAGATTTGGGGTCGGTGGGAGAGCTGTCCTGGGAGTAGGACAAAAAAGAAACAGAAGGGAATTTCCCTTTCCTTTATCACAGATTTCTAAACTGTAAATTAGAGTGAACCGTCCACGTGCTTTATTTCTGTTCTTCGTGCTGAGCCTCAGGATCAGCAAAACGTGTCGCTGCTTCTCAGGACTGTGACCCCTGGGGGCAGGGATGGATTCACAGGGGCAGTCTGGGCCGTGGTGGATCTCGCCCATCAGCTCTCAGGTCACCTGGGAACACTCACACACGTCAGGTCCCCGATCGAGTTTGGGCAGCCTGAGCCAGATTTTAGCTGCGTCGCTGAAATTTGCCGTCTGCAGCAGCAGTTACGGGACTTGTGGTCCCACGTAGACGGCTTCATGCGTACAAAGATATGGTTTAACATCTTTATTAACAACCTGCATGAGAGGATCAGCGCACCCTCAGTAACTTTGCAGGTGCCACCGAGCTGGGCGGGAGCGTTGATCTGCTGGAGGGCAGGGAGGGTCTGCAGAGGGACCTGGACAGCCCAGATCAACAGGCCAAGGTCAACTGCGTGAGCTTCAACAAGGGCAAGTGCCGGGTCCTGCCCTTGGGTTGCACCAACCCCACGGAAATCTAGAGACTTGGGGCGGTGTGGGTGTGGGACTTGGGGTGAGAACA